GATGGTAATACCATGCGGCAGTTGACGGTGGTGGCTTACCATTATGGCAATCTCCCAACTCATCTCTGCCAAATCAGAGATGCTGGTTCGACGTCGATTTAATTTAAGTTGCATAAACTTTACGAATCGCTTAATTTAGAGGCGACAATAAAAGTAGAGCAATCACGAGGTCTCGGAATTTCTCGGAATTCGAGGAAAAGACCGTTTGAGCGGAGCGCAGTCATTGGCTCCTCTTGGCGGGAATTTCCGAAGCTCCGATTGTTCCTGTCCAACTCTACTTCCGTAGATAATTAAACTGACTTCGCTGAACAAATTGAGCCGCCCAAACTTTCCGAAAACTTATCGCTCGATGTAGATGTAACGATAAAAACGGAGCACTCCCGAGGCCACGTAATCTCCCCGGGTTCAAGGGAACAGCCCGGACACGTTTCCGTTGGAGCGCGCCCATTGGCTCTGCCCCTGTATCAGCGATATCCCCTCTCTCGCTGCTTGTACTTCATAGGCCGGCGATTTCGGCTCGTCAGTAGTAGCGATAAAGCCACGGAGGTAAGTTCCGTAGCTCTTCTCCGAGTCTTCCAACTGCACGACAGTTTTCCGCGCCCCGTCGAGTCGCATCGCCCGGTAATTAACCAATTAATCTACGACGACAGAATTTAAATAAAAAGATAATTGACTTTTCTCCATCATCCTGAATGTGCAATTTGCCGGCAGGTGCGGCCATCTGTGAACAAGTCGGTGAACTTTCACCCGAGGAATGTCGCTCGACGAGGTAAGAAGGCCTCTGATTGGTCCGATCTTGCGCGGTTAATTTAAACCATCCAATGAGGACAGAGGAGAGTAGTCGGTGGAATTATTGTATAAAAAGAACTTACAAGAACAAATAGAGCTCTCAGAAATGATGAATGCCATTGCTATGCGAGCATATATTAATGCCCGGTTCCACCAACCTCGGTTAAATCATTCATATTACTTAACCGTAGTTTATAGTTAATGTCCAAGTAAATCATGGGTTAGAAACATAAATGTTCCGCCAGATTTATTTAGAGCGCGATTAACTAATCGTATACACTGTTCTAAGTAAGTCGAATTGTCGGTAAAGGCATTCGCGTGATTGGCTGATATTCTGATCAACTAGAAAGCAAAAAAGATGCGTTTTTGTCGAGACAACAAATCCCCCTAGCTTCATGCAAAAAGTTATTTGGCAGATGCTAGCCTCAAGTTCTTGGGTTAAGAATGAATATAAAATATTTTCAAGCCGTATTCCGATCATTAAGAAATGGTAAATGAAATTAAAAACGTCTGAACAGATGAACCGTTTCGTCATAAGATGTTAATACATACTCAATATAATGTTTTCCTCGTTTGTGCAGTTTGTAGGTTGAAAATCGATTAACTGAAGATAAACGGTCTAATTTCGCTGGTTAATTTAAACGACGATTAGTAGAAATTAATCCGCCGTTAAAACGTGGTAGAAGTTACATGAGTTGCATGTTCCACCGTGGAACATGCAACTCATTGTAACCGAGGATAAGCATGAGTTGCATGTTTCACAATAGAACATGTACCGATAAGAGTTAGGCTCCCCAAAGATTAGAGTTTGCTGTTAGATAACCAACCGAAATCGGGAGAATGACTCTAATCATGCGTTAAGTAATCCTTGATTAAGAATTTTACCTCATGTATTGATGCAACTGGCCCTATGCATATTAGCAATGACTTCCGAAGAAGTTTTGTAACAGAAGACGTCTCCGTTGAATCTCTTTCGAAAACCCTCACTCTTACGTCAACTTCATTTCCATAAGCTCTACGACAATAAAGGGTACAAAATGAAATGCTTCTGTACGTTATTAAAACATAAATGATCCAACTTGCAGAGATTCAACGAAGCTGCCGAGGAGGTTAAAGCACTGGCATCGCAGCCTAACGATGCTGACCTTCTCGAGCTCTATGCCCTGTTCAAACAGGCCACCGTTGGGGACTGCAATACAGGTTATAAAGTTAAATTAATAGAACTAACATTTTGTAACAGTAAACAGTACAATTATCCATTGGACATTTGACAACAAGGAGTAAATTAAATAATTAACACTGGTCATCGCTGCGATTTCAGAGAGGCCTTCTGGCTTACTAGACTTCAAGGGGAAAGCCAAGTGGGATGCCTGGAATGGAAAGAAAGGAAAGAGCCAAGACGATGCTAAAAAGGAGTATATAGACAAGGTCACCAGTCTTGTTGCTTCCATCGGGAAGAAGTAACCTCCCCAAAGACCTCGATTGCCTCGAAACATTTCGATCATCTTGTAACATCTGCCGAGACCTAGGGGAAGGGAAAACTCTCCGGCACAAGAGTGAATAATGTACTATGTCGCTGTATGTCCTAGGCTACGCCAAAAGAAAAACCCAACAAGCTTTTAAATCCTAGTGTGCTATACTGGATATACACCTGGAGCCGATACGCTTTGCCACGCACATTGTCAAACCAAATATCAGTCTAAGAGGAGTGACTCGACAACATTTTGTTTTCTTACTTGTTTAAATTTGGATAATAAAAGTTAAAAACTAATAAAAAGTGCTTAAAAAAGGTCGTGTAGCAGACGTCAACCCGGATAACCTCAAAATCTCCACGGTCCGCTGCGCCTCCACCCTGACGAGAACGCTCCTGGGAACTTAACACCTCGCAATCTGGTTTAGTGAATATTAATAATGTATTTGTTCATTTGTTTAAGCTTAACATCCTTCGACTTATTCATTATATACACATACGTGGTGAATTACTTAAGTGAGACGTACAATGCGCTACAGTTGAAGGTCCTGGGGACGTGAATATCGCGCTAGAGGATATATACTCGTATAATATACCGCGACGGGGTGAAAGATATATCTCCGGGGGTGCACTTTCTCTCTCCTAACGGCTCGCTCTCTCTACTAAACGGAAAAAGCCCTCACCGTTGAACTACCTCCTTCGTGGACCAATCACACCAAGTATAGCGAATACAGCGAATAATTTAATGTAATTCCCGTGATCACGTTATCTCGTTATTCTCATTATTCTCGTTATTCCTCGTTACTCCACGTAGCCGCCACCTTGGGCAGTTAACAATCTTGCAAGGACAGTGACAGTTATTCCGATAACCATCGTCCGGAACAAGAAGGACCCTACAGGACATCCTCGACGGCATCATTCACTCTTCGCAGATAAAACTCGACGAATAGTTCCCTTCAGCGAAGTGGATCTCCTCGCATCACACCTGGCGGCCCTTTAGAAATTATTCTACAAGTGATTCGACACAGAGATAACAGGTTTGCAATTGTTTATGTTCAATCGAAGATCCCAAAACATTGCATTGGTTGCATCGACAGGACACCGCAGTCACCGATCAAGAATGAATATAGTGAGTCGCTACTAAACTCTTTAAATTATAAGTTGATTTATACAATTCAGTACCCTGACAGTTTCAAGGTTTGTTTTCATAATATATAATACGTGACACTATTTATCACGATTGCATCGACAGGATACCGCAATCACCGATCGACAATAAATTTAATGAAGTTGTTATCGAGTTCTTTAAATTGGGATCCAAGGATCATTTCGACTTGTCACCCTAAAATTAATTAATAAGATTCAAAACTCGATATTACCAAGGTTTGTATTTATAATATCGAATGTCAAACTGCAGGTCATTCGTTTCTTTCTCTGTCGAAGCAAGGCCTCTGGTTACATAAATGGAAAAACATCTTAATTGATTCACCCTGTCAATGTAACACTTCCAGCTCTCAGATACGTCCTATCAAAGCATTTCCTCTGCTGCAATCATTCTCCACTACACAGTGATCGGTAAAAGAATCCACAAAATCCCGAACAAACGATTCCTATCGAAGGTCTACACCTGCGGTCTCATGTAACGCACTCTAGAATCGACTTACTCTAATTGAGCATAAGTAAAATTCGCTTACTAGTCGCTCCACATCCAAAAAATACCTATCGAGGAACAGTGACTGTCAGTCACTCCGACGGGGGAGAAACTGTGAAGCATCCTTCCTTCACTTCAAGCACGTATCTGCCAACCAATAGACAACAACTTTCCGCCAAGAAAACTCAACACTAAGAAACAAATTGCAAACCTTGTTAATTCGACATTCCAGGGAATAATTCCAAAACGGATCGTCAGGTTTCCTAACCTTCAAGGAGAGTACGGCGACTCGAGAGCGCTACTACGGGGCCCGCTCGCGTAATCAGTTCATCAGGCCGACAGCGCGTCTAATTACCGCTAAATCGACGTTAATATAATATAAACTCGCTCACCGAGTCGCTCGTGACAGCCCTCGCGCAAAACTCGTCCTTAAAACGGGGTCTTTTCGCACCCCCTTTTCGAGGTTATGTCGCGGCCGTAACGAATGCGCGACCCTAACCTCTCGGGAAGTCGGTCCTTAGCTCGTTAAAATTATACACTTAAAACTAAAAGCCGCTCTCCTGATTCCCCTTCTCGATTTCCTGTGTATCTCTCGTTTCCTCTAAGTTTCTCGCACTCTCTCAACTCTCGTTCTCTCTCCCTAGTCTCGCCAAGGCCAGAACTCATCGACTCGATGCATCGATAAATCCTCCTTCGAAGAGACGTTCCAATTTCCTGGACCCGGCCCTGACCTCTCGTCCATTGTAAGCAAATTTTTAGTAATCATTATTTTAAGCTGGGGAAGCAGCCTTTTCTTTTATTCAAGCAAACCAAAATAAGTGAGCTTCGCACTGTTCGGGGAAAAAATTACCTGAACGATCGGTCAGACCCCTTCCAGATGTCGTTTAATGGAGATGCAGTGGTTTCATCGAAAAGTCCAAGTTTACTTCAAGGTGAACCTCGTTAATAAAATTGATCTAGAGGAAATAACAATTACTAGATATGGATTTACTTGGCGAAAATTTTCTGCTGAATAAATAAACTTTGAGTCAAAGTAAGGTAGGATTCGTCTTCCTAATTTTCGAACGTTGTATCACATTAATTGATCTATGAGGATTTCATTGAAATAAGTATTTAATACCCGATCTTGTCCCGCTAAATAAGTGTCAAATCACAGCACGTTTATCACCTAGTTTATAATTAAATGCAGAATATAATTAAATGACGGACGTTGCATTCGAAGCTATGAAAAAATGTTTTAAATAAGATAATAAGGATATACGAATGATCTTTTTTGTGTTTTTTGACAATGTCCATTAGGGTGCGTCTAAAGAACATCTCATCGATAATCTGAAGCTCACTTTAAAATAAAGTTGGACTTGGAAGGTTTTTTCCTTATGTTCAAAGAAACCTTAACCTAACAAAGTCGCTCCGAGGACATTCTTCCTTCTAACCTTATTAAGCAAGACCATATTTAAACAGACCCGGGCATCGATTTGACATATTTTCACACAAAATTCGCTTTAAAACAAGCCTTTTCATAGAACTATGTCAAAAGAATATCTATCTAGCTCTGCAAAGTTGCTTCTCAGAAATCTAAGAACAGACATCGGGGCAACACGTTGATGAGGTGGGTTACGCCGAACTGTCAACACTTATCGATAAAAGAGAGTGAGTGAGAGAGAGAGAGAGAGAGAGCTCTCGTCTTTCGCTGGTGCGAAGACCTAAACGGTGCATCGCTGGTCTTGAAGTATAAACGTGATAAATATGACGTTACTATTTGGCAATCGACTTTATTTGATCCTCTCTTAATCAGCAGTCTGAGATATGTTGGAGTGTGCTTCTAATTTGGTGATTGGACTCGAAGATCCTCCCGATAGCTGTCTATCATCCAGACAAGGGCATCCACTTTGGACAGTTTTGCATAGAATTTGCTTCACGCATCGACCGACAGGACAATCATAGATCGAGAAACTCTTAAAAAGACCAAATCAATTACTAAATCATCACCCTTAGTCCAGTGAAAGCTTACAAAACGCTTTAGAATGAATCTAAGGAACTCAAACTCAATTGTCACGTTTAAAAGATTCCTAACCTGTCACTGCCATAACTTATCAAATTCAAAAGCTCGTCAATAATCCGTCCAAAGTGAATTCTATGCACGAAACCATTCAAAATACACATCCAGCCTGTCCCTCGGCTGCTGCTTGACCAGACGAAGAGACATAACCCAAGGGGCAGCAAACGAAAAAAAAGAGCCAGGTTTCCTGTGAATTCGGTCCGACACTTACCATCCGTCGTCAGCCTCCCCAGGGGTGAGACAGAGGCCCCAATCGAGCTCTGGGCTTCGACACTCTTAACAAGGGTCAATTTAGCGACAACAGAGGAGGCGCGACAACGTGAACAGCCATCGGTCCCTCCTGTGGTGGGTCAGCTCTCTCTCTCTCTCTCCCTGGCTTACTTCCGCTTGCTCTTATCTTTCGAGCTGAGGTGCGGATGGTGGTGGCTCTTTAGCCTGCTATGGTGCTCGTGGTGCATCGATTTCGCGTTCTGGCCGGTCTCGGTCGGCTTCTCGCTCGCCTGGCGACTTGTTGACACTTCATCGTACCTGCCGAAACAGAGAACACGTTTTTTCCAGAGAGGTTAGAAACCCCGGCCCCACGTTAAAACTCTCGTCGGAGTCTTCTCTGACATCTCCCTCCTCGTAAATACGAGCTCGAAGTCTCCCCCGAGCCTGGAAATAAAGGGACCTGCGTCGACCAGCAGCGCAGCGCAAAGTTAGGTTACGTTAGAGGTTAGAACGTCCCTAGCTACACTTGACAGAGGCCTGTCGAGAGATGTTTTTCTCTACTATACGAATACATGCGGCATCTTCGAGCACTGAGAGAATCAACCAAAGAGGGCTTTCTATCGGTGGAATTGCGCGCACGTGTGTGTGTGTGTGTGTATATATGTATGTATGTGTGCGCGGAGAGTGAATCGAGTCAAGCGAAAGTGACATAAAGTGTGACGAATTTAACTGTACTTTATGGACTGCGGCACGCCATTCACCGTCTTCGATTTAAGGACGTCGTTCTCGAAGGACATGACGGTCTCCTTGCCGTTCTCGTAGACCCTGAAAGCAGAAGAAAGAGGAATCCTTCATATCGAGTCACCATCTATTGAGTACCGTGGAACATCGATAACTCCGTCTACAAGTTAATGACCTTTATAAAACTCCGAATCTTTCCATTGCCTTGATTTTGAAAAGCTAAAAACTGTGAACAAGTATAAGGAGCTATCGAATACCCTTTAAAAAAAAGTGTCTTATTCCATTCAACTGATTTGAGGGGGTTTCGTTTCCCCTTAAAAGGTTAAAAAAAGGGTGTCTTATTCCATTTGACTAATTTGAGGTTTCACTTCACCTTAAAAGGTTAAAAAAAAGGTGTCTTATTCCATTTGACTGATTTGAGGGGATTTCACTCCACCTTAACCGTAATCATTTGAGACTTACTTCTTCGTCGTGATCTTCTTCCCATTAATGAATCTGGTCGAGGTGCTGGTTCTCTTTACGGTGGACCCGCTACTAGGACCGCCCTGGCTGCTGCTATAACTACTAAAGGAGTCTACGTTCCCCAGTCCACCGCCAAAGAGGTTCTCTAGGTGTGAACCAAAGCCGAAGCCCATAGGACCGAAAGGAGTGCTCAGGCTGTTGTTCAATGGGTGACTGTGCCTGTTCATGCCCCTGAAGGTGCCAGGAAATACTGTAAGCAGAAAAAAGAATGAAAATGTACCCTAATATGCCCGACGGTACACAGTTGACGTGATACGAAAGACGCTGAGAAATTGAATCGACTGTTCCCTTTTCCTTTCGCGTGCCGCTGTTTCTGGTTTTGATATGCATTTTCATTATCGAAATATCGAAACATTTTAAACGGTATAAATAAATGCCTACAGTCATAGAGATCTTCGAAGGCAGATCCACCGAAGAAGTCTCGAAACACGTCTTCGGGGTCCCTGAAGATGAAGGATTCAGCAAAGCGGGAATCGAAGTCATCCTCGTGGCGACGTTTGCCACCTGGCATCTGAAGACCGTCCTTTCCATACTGATCGTAGACTCTTCGTTTTCTCTCTGCAATAACAAAACGAAAGGAAAGGGATGAAACACCATACGTAAAAACTAGAGTATAAAAAGCAAGCACGGGAACCTAGTCTAATACTCATATCACTCTTTGTGCATTAAAAAACGTCGTTTATCCATTTAAGGTGTTACAAATATGCGTGTGTGCGCGTCCGTGTAAAATTAAATTATTTATAAAATTTACCTCCAAAATGGGTGCACTGAATAAATTTGAGACTTCACCATGTGATTATAGAGATTCTAATGGTCTCAAAACTCACGAAACTTCACTTTTCGCAAAAGAAAGAAAAAAATGTTGGCATATTCCGCACACGAACAAAATAAATGTTTTTTTTTTCTCTCAATAAATGAGATTTCGCGAATTTTAAAACTTACGGTCAAGAATTATGGACCTTCATGATCACGTGTTAAAATTTCAAATTATTCAGTGCACGTATTTGGGAGAATAGTTTTATAAATTTTTTGACGTTTGAATATATAGAATGATTTTTTAGTATCACCTTAAGGTGGCATGAAAGTGGCGTCTCAAGGGTCTCGATTATGAAGCTTTCCTCCGAACAAAATTTACCGAATTGTTTGACATTTTATCACGTGAATATGGAGGCCCCTAAAAAAGGTCCTGACCATCCATAAATGTTGATATATAAAAATTTGTTTATAAGCATTTTTTATTTTTCAATACAAAAATTAAATCTCACGCCAGTCAGGATCTTCCTTAGTTTCCATATTCCCGTGGTGAGATTTCAAACAATTCGGTACACCCAGTGGTTGGGAGAAAAATCTCAAACGACTGACCCCTCAGATGCTACTTTCGTATCGCCTTAATGACTGCAGGTAAAAGACGTCCTTTATCCCTAAAAGTGAGATATGAATACTGACCGTAGTTTTTAGTAACCTGATACGCATTCAACATCCACCTGAAGGGAGAACACCTCACGATGAAACAAATCAACCACCCTGTCTCGAAGTGTCAGTCCCGGTACAGATTAAGGATACGTCCTCTCCTCCGCACAATGGATCAATTTAAATATTCTTATGCACAAAAAATACATTTCACCTTCTATCATGCACATTTATACCACAGTAATACGAAATATCAGATATCTAACATGGAACTTGAACAAATATGGCGTACTTCAACCTTTGATGACAACAAAACTGACAACTGATTTAATTATCAATAAAAGAGTTCGCTATATATTATGGACAGAATTTGTAAAAATTAAACGCAGTCACTTTTGATCTAATGATTTTACTGCTGAAAATAAATAACTTTAGGCAGTGTGATATTGAGACACAGTTTCATAATTCTTAAAGGGAAAAAAAAATAGCGACAAGTCGGTGCACTTACATAGAATATTTATGTAAAGACGTTATATGTAATAAGAAGTGTTTGATTTTCTTTTTACAGTGGGGATATACTAGAATTTCTAGATATTCAATGTTATACCTATCGTTATGTTCTGAAGCAACTGATTTTTGGCTTCGCCGTGTAGAAAGAATATTTATGTTTCAAATGATACGATCCAGTAAGGAACTATTAACGAGCTCTGAATAACAAAGAATCAAAAGCCCATGCTCGATGAACGTGTTCTGAGTTTTTCCATTATATTATTTAAAATCACAGTTTCATCTGTTGCAATGAGCCTAATGTTATATATGTTATGATAAGATTACATAGATTATGAGACTAAAAACAAATCACGTTTCTTATATAAATTTGTTCGCAAAAGAATATTTAAATCGACCCACGTCTCTCTGGTTAGAATGGAACGGCTGGGGGGTGAGTCGATTAAGAGGAAAGGCTACTCCGATGGGATAACCAATCGATAGTATTAGTAAGAAAGAGAAGCAGATGCAAAAAGAAGCAGGTACGAAGTAAGCGCCAGTAAAAAAGACTCCCGGTTCAAAGGAAAAAGTGTTTCAACACTGCGGCACTCTTTTCAAGAACGATGTTACGATCCAATGTTACGATGTCAGAGGAGGTTAAACACCACAATTCACTTTCCTTCACGTTTCTTCCCTTTCACTTGACACGACGATGCACTGCGTTGCGAGAGCGAAACACCACAGGGGGGTAACATAGGGACTAAATGGAGGCACGCACTAGTGTTTCGGAGGAAAACTTGAACGGAAAAAAGGACTCTCCGAGAGGGCACCATGCTTGTCGACAGAGCAAAGGGTGAGGACCAGTGTCGACTCGAGGGAAAGAAAACAGCGGAGAGAGACTTTTCGCGTTTGGAGCACCGTTCGACGACGCAAAGCTTCGCTGGTAGGGAACGATAAATATATATGGGCGAGGGAACTCTTGCGAATGGTTGCGGAAGAAAACCGGTGTGTCACTCATAAATCTCTCTTCTGGTACCGAAAAATCGCTGAAAGGGAGAGTCAAAGTAACTCCGTGATGTGAATCCACGGCCTGGCCTCGAGGACGCCTTCTGATACAAACGCTGGTCGTAGGTTCTTCTCTTCGCGTCTGGACACCAAGTTACGTCACACGACAATCCGGAAACAAACAGATGATCGTTCTCTCATTGCGGCTGCACCGTCCGTACCAGGGACCGTGCATGTCCTTAGTCCTAACCTCAAAGGACCGCTCCCTCAAAGCCACAGAAAAACCTCATCCAATGCGAAAGCCTCAGCTTGCGATTTACGATACGGTCTGCGACAATCAATTGCAATGCGAGCAAGAGAGACGAATCTTCTCCTGTCATGGCTATGTTAAAACTTAAACGTAAACAGGCACTGTTTCTTTAACGCTGATCACATGGCTAGTCTAAAGTACCCGTTACGTCCATCGATTTGTGTCAAAGCAGAGTTGCCATAGACTGGTTTTATGCATCGTTATCGTTTCCAAAATTTATTGACTCTAAAGGGTTTCCCAAAAGCGGGTGGCATTATAAATTTTGTGTCACTTCTGTAAGGTTAAAATTTGAACGTGTTCGACAGGTCACAGCTGAAAGTTGAAAGGTTTATGTAAACGAAATGGTACGTACTCTTATAACACACAGAATTTGTAAAAATTCACTATGAATGTGCAAAGGAAACTTCCATGCACTTCACACTTAACCTCCAAGTTTGCATTTTGGGTCGAAATAAAGATATCGGAACTTTTTCAAAATTAGTTGCACCATTTTACAAACTTAAAACGACACCTACTTTTGGATAACCCTTTACACGCTATTATCAGAGGTCATTAGAATCGATTAATTATCAGGACTCCTAGCATCATGACAACCCTATTAAAAATATCTCCAGGCATTGTCCTTGAATCGAAGATGCTTTCAAGCTTAGAAAGCTACATTAACCGAGCCTCACCATCGATGAGAACTTCATAAGCCTCGGAGATCTCCTTGAACCTCTTGTTTGCTTCGTCTGGGTTATCAGGGTTCTTATCCGGATGCCATCTGAGTGCTAACTTCCTGTACCTGGAATGCATATTCATTAATATATATCCAAAATCACTCTTCCCACCTGTTACATGTCATTAAGCATATTGGAGCGCATTAGATATTCCCCCCATGTACGTAGGATTTATGAACCCTGCACGCTGATCTAACTACAGACAACGGAACTAAAAGTGTGAAAAGGAAGGAGCTGTTCTCCTATAACTCCCTCTTTATATATAAAACCGCTGTGCAGTACAATATGGCAACAGCCTACAAGCAAGTGAGAGAAAAAACAAGGGTAGCCTCTCTGTTCGTTCTTCTTACTTTCCACTATCTTCGTAAGAATATTAACGACCAGATCTCGGGTATATCTTACGGTACTTCTTACGTCTATATTCACACCCCAAAATCATTGACAGTCCTGTCTGTGACGCATAAGATCATCCTTAACTCCTCAGAAGCCCTTTAAACGAGCCCTCTAGCGTGATTCTCGGTGCAGCGACCGTGAACCAGGTCAGAGCCCTCGGGACCTAACCTCACTTTCCGCGAGTCGACGGGCGAGTTCCGCGACTCTCCGGCGCTTTCTTTCGGCTCTTCCGTGCGTGAAACCGGGTCGAGAACCGACACGGCCTCGAGCCAACCTAACCTCGAATCGTCTCATCGTCCGAAAGGCGAGATAAGTGCAAATCGAGGGATCACGGATAATACTTACGCCTTCTTAATTTCCGCGCTGGAGGCGGTCCTCGAGATGTCGAGGACCGAGTAATAGTCGACCATCGTTTCCCGGTGTAGCGGGGGCTCTCCCTCAGGACTTCTGCCGACTCCTAGTCAGCCGCGACCAGGAAAGCGACCACGCAGGCGACCACAGGCAACCACCTGCAACGGAACACAAAGAGAGGATCAGAGCGCGATTACTCGACCAATCAGGGAGCTCCTCTCGCTGTCGGGTGACTGCTGCTTCCAGCTGAGCGCCCGCCAGCCAATCAGCGAGGGCCATTCTACCAACCGACCAATCAGCGCGCGCTGATCCACCAAGCGGCCAATCGGAGCGCCCCAACCGCCAAACTCAACAAGCGGTCCAACAGTCTGCTATTAATAATCTTGCCAACCGTACTTTTATTCAAGTATTTGTACTATTATTTTAGTCCGGTGCACTACGCATTTTTAGAACAATAACAGTTCGCGAATCGTACTATTAATTCAGTAGAAAATGGGACTATGAACAACTTTGTTATTGATGGATATTTGTGTTGACGTTCTTCGTTTTGTTCGTAGACACTTAGGTTAGACAGGCTTTCTAACGAAAGGGGAGATAGAAGGAGAAAATATAGCCTCTGTTCGCTCTCTTTTCTTTCAAGCATCAAGGGAATGGCTGGGTTTACGAGCTTCATATATCCTACATAGATGCGTGTTCTTCGACTCAGGTAGCTCCATGGATGTAGGATATACGGAGCTCGTAAACCCAGCCATTCCCTTGATACCCTTGCGAAAAAAATGGTGCAAACAGAGAGGCTATCTTTTCTCTGTCTCTCCTTTTCCGTTAGAACGCCTGTCGTCACTATTGCGATATGCGACAGTTTCCCGTAAACAGAGATAAGCAAGAAAAAAGACCCTCTATTCTCTCTATTTCATTTCTGTTGCTCCATAGTGTCTGATCAGAGTCCGGGATCTATACATCCTACGCCCATGGACGTCATGGATGATTCAAACACGCGCTTCATTTTTGATTAAAAGGTAAAGAAGAACCAACGTATTTCGGTAAATATCGATCCACCTGATTCATCATTCTTAATCGACGAGCGATTCACCTTATCTATAAATGTACGTGGGAAATATTACGGTAATTCCTGCCAAATCTGAGTAGCGAAAATCCAAGATGGCGGCACTCCCGCGTAGTTTAAATCATTCGGCTATTGAAATAGATTTATAATTGCGTTTTACGTCATCGAAATCTCTTCCAATTCGAGAATCTTGCTGTTAAATGTTGAACTATTTGCTTTTACATGATACAACCTCCGCATTGTTTACTTGTTCGTATGTTTATCTCTTCTAATTCGAGAATCTCGCTTTTAAATGTTGGACTATTTGCTTTTACATAATACAATCTCCGCGTAGCTTACTTATTCGCGTTTCAAAATGGTCGCGTTTATCAGTCTTGAAATGGATACCGCGGCCTGATAACACCATTGAAAGGTGTTCTGTCGTGACTTGGTAGGTGTTAAAATGCATTGAGCAATCGAGCGGTGATAGATGGGGTGGCGTCGCGAGATGAGCGTCTCCGCCAATCGGAGAACGTCCATAAACTAGCCAATCAGAAACCGCCATTCATGGACGTGGACAAACTGCAAGGATGACGTCACGAGGAATAACCATAAAGTTTATGGAAATGAAGAAGACGTTGCTATAGGATATATACAGGTTGAAATATTGAAAAGTTAGAAAGGGATATTTTCCGTCTCAACTTTTACGAAAATCCACTGCGCGCGCATTACGAAAATCCACTGCGCGCGCAATATGAATATTTTAATGCGCGAGATTTAAATCACCCCGTAAGCAGTTAAAAAACGACAGAGAAACTTGTTTCTCTTTTAATGGGAAATTTCTTCAGCGTGAGATATTTCTCTTTCTCGACAAAATACCACGATATATTCTACATCTATGTAGTAAGAATTTCCGAATGTGTTTATAAGTTTCTATAAAGCTCTGTGGCTTAAACTTCTTTTTTTTACAAAAACCAGAACTGTTCAAAAAGATAAACAAATTCCGAAGTCGTAGAAATTTGGATTTTTCGATACTAATGGGTTATCTCCGATGTTACGAAAATTCAGAGCCTGCCAAGACCTCGAAAACGTTAAAATGGTCATTTTCCGAATTTATTTCTTTAATAGCTCTGTTTTTTTTTTTACCGGCACAAATGTCTACATCACATTCCAATAAGCCTGTTAATTTTGCTTGTGTCTCAAACTGGATTTCAGGTTCACACAGCCGATAAAACTGTATCGTCGTTAAAACGTTTGAAAACTGGCGCGCTTTTCAACCTTCGGCGTCGCGGGGTGGCGATCCAAGATGGCGGCCATGCCGTCGACGCATCCGGAAGAAGGGAAAGAGAGACAGAGAGGAACGCTCGTATTTCGTCTCGTAGCCGGGCCACCTCTTGAAAACGCCTTAAAGTCAAAGACTGGGCCAATGAAAATTCTAAAGTTAGCCCGCCAACGTATCCAGAATAGATCGAAACGCGGAGGTGGAGGTCACTCCGATATCCTCGCCATTCGTGCCAGCCCCTGCGGGGTGGAAAACCTCGGGGAAGGGGGTCAGGTAAAACGCGAATTATCCACGCTCGGGCGAAAGGAAAAGTAAACTTTAGTTTCTATGAGATAAGCTTGCGGGATTCGATTATGCGGAAACGGAGCCATGTCGAAAATTCCTCCTGAGAGGGATTGAACATTTCTCTTGGAGCGAATTTGCATATTTCCCTTTGACCGGAATTGACGAGTTCCCCTGGAATCACCTCGAAATTACCCTTGGACCGAATTCGGATATTTTTCTTTGGATCTGAGACCCAATTCTCAAATTCATATACCATCATCTTTCGCATGCGAAAATGATAGTTTCGTATACGACTTTCAAATGTTGACCAATGCTGGACACTTCACGACAATGCAAAATCTTTCCTGCGAATCTATGCGTATGCGAAGAAAAAAAAATAAAATCGGCATGAACTCGAGAATCGGGGCTCCGATCTAGAAATTTCCCTTGGAGCCACCTTTCATTTGGGCCGGGAACATTTTCTACATTTCTTTCAGGGCAGATTTGGATATTTCCTCAGTTACCTGTTTACAGATATTTCCCACGGCCTCATTTCGACATTTCATTTAACCTGGTTTCCGACAATTTCCTTGGTCCATGTTCGGACTTCTTCCCAGAGCCCGTCCTCAATACTACATTTCCCTAGAACACCTTTCCTCTGGAACAATCTTGAAGTTTCTTCTGCGTCAAATTTATAGTATTTCCCTTAGAGTCACCTGAAAATTTCTCTTGTACCGGATTCGAATATTTCCCTTAGACCGGATTACACGATTTCCTCTGGACCGTCTCAGTACTTCCACTAAACCGTTTCCGAATTTCTCCTAGACCGGACTTTCCGATTTCCCTTGGACCCACTCGTCGTTTCTCCCTCTACTGATTTAGAATATTTCCCTTAGACCGGGTTCCACGATTTCCTCTGGACCGTCTCGGTACTTCCCCTAGACCGCTTCCGAATTTCTCCTACACCGGACTTTCCGATTTCCCTTGGACCCACTCGTCGTTTCTCCCTCTACTGATTTAGAATATTTCCCTTAGACCGGGTTCCACGATTTCCTCTGGACCGTCTCGGTACTTCCCCTAGACCGTTTCCGAATTTCTCCTACACCGGACTTTCCGATTTCCCTTGGACCCACTCGTCGTTTCTCCCTCTACTGATTTAGAATATTTCCCTTAGACCGGGTTCCACGATTTTCTCTGGGTCGTCTCGGTACTTCCCCTAGACCGTTTCCGAATTTCCCCTAGACCGCTTCCGAATTTCCCCTATACCGGACTTTCCGATTTCCCTTGGGCCCATCTCGACATTTCCCCTCTACCGATGTCGAACCCTTAGACCGAGTATCCCGATTTCCCTTGGAGCCGCCTAGAACTATCCCCTGGTACCGAATTACCATATTTCCCGCCGAATGAATTTTCAAATCAACTTCCCACGAGCCCACGTCGCCCTTACCCCCACCGAGCTCTTCATCTCGACTCTGCAGGAGGCGGTCTACCGGCAGAAGAGAGAGCCCGCGAGTTTTGGATCGCGGGACGATGACTCAGGCCGGATTTGGATTTGGATTTGGCGTGTCTCCTGGGCACGTGGGTGGCGGGCACCGCGCGTGGGCGCCCTTTTCCAACCATGGAGACCTAAGTCGCGACCGACCGCCGCCGATTTCGACCGCGGCTTCCCTCGGGCGAGACCGTCGAGCGAGATTCTAAGTCACGGTCGCGGCTAATTGCGAGACAAGTTGCGAATTGAGTCGCGTCACTGTGTCGCAAGCGGAGCCGCGAGTCGCGACCAATCGCGAGGCGACTACCGACAACCGATTCACGGCCGCTCGATTACTCGCTAATCGACTCGCCAGGGTTCGCGATAGAGGAAACTCGCGAGCCCGAGTCGATTCTCGAGCTGATTCACGGCTCGATCCCCTGGGGAAATATTCCTGAGACATCGCGATTCACCCCGATGGAAAAAAAAAACTGCAATGATTTCGCGAAACTTGTTTCCCGAGTTTTAGTCGGATGCGGTATGGACATCCTGAGAGAAAAAAAAAAAAGAAGAAGTTGGTTGACTCAAAGAAATATGCATTGCTGCAAGAAAATCCTGCGATCGAATACCTCCAAAGAAATGTCACTAAGAGTAAACAAGGGTTTATTCACTATGGAAATGATGGATTTTAACGCTGGAAATCACCGACACATTCTCACAGTTTTAAGGTGATGTGAAAGTGGCATACGAAAGCTCAATCGTTCATAAAACTTTTCTACGAACTGGATGTCTCAAATCGTTTCATACTTTAAAACGTGAATATGGATACCCTAAGGTAGGTCCTGAAACTTAGGAAATTTCATTTTCTTATAAACTATTTTTAAAATACCTATAAACAAATTTGAAAGGAATTGAAATTTCATGAGTTTCAGGACCTCCCTTATGGTCTCCTTATTTAGATTGTAAAGTTTCAAACCATTCGGTAAATTGAGGTGGGACAAAAGTTTTATAAACAATACCTCTTCGACGTCACTTTCACATTACCTTAAGGGCATGTGAAAGTGGCACACGAAAGCTCAATCGTTCATAAAACTTTTCTACGAACTGGGTGTCTCAAATCGTTTCATACTTTAAAACGTGAATATGGATACCCTAAGGTAGGTCCTGAAACTCGGGAAATTTCATTTTATTATAAACTATTTTTAAAATACCTATAAACAAATTTGAAAAGAATTGAAATTTCATGAGTTTCAGGACCTTCCTTACAGTCTCCCTATTCACGTTGTAAAGTCTCAAACTATTCAGTAAAGGTAGGAGTGGTTACATACCCCTTTAGGGATGAATAAAAGAATCGAAGTTCAATTTGTCTACAAGCAATTAATTAGCAATAAATTCTGACGTATACGTCAACTATAAACATTTGCTTTATTACTGTTTTTACAACGTGGCAATGCTAGCTTAAAATAAAGCTGGCACTGCCACCGTTTTACGAAAAAGTATAAGAGCAAAAAATCTTTTTTCTTGCGCAATAAAATAGCAATAGATTAGCAATAAATTTTATTCAATTGTGCCAAACTGGCAATGTCAGATCTATATGGACATCGTATACAAATGAATTGCTTCTAGATCCTGCCTGGAAAATCGCAGTTTAGGAAGCTTGCGAGAGAAAATCGAGGATGAGAGACGAAGGGAGAAGTCGATCGGGGACGATCTGTGTTCGACCTATTATCACCAGCTGCCAAGAATCTCGATCTCGTCACAGAGAAACGAAGAGCGAAACGAGTAGCCTATCTCTCATCGACCCTGCGTCGAAGGGCGCCACTAAATAATTCATTAGTTTTAACCTGACCTAACCTAATCTAGGGTACTCGACCTGTAGCGTGAACATAGGCTATTACGTAAAAAAAAAATTTACAAAATCCATACTCATTTAGTATACAAGGTTGTAGTACAATCATATGTCTCACTAATGAATTAGTACATATTAGGGGGACCGGAAAGTAATGTCATTTCTTCACAATGGAATTTAATGTAAGAAAACGACATTACTTTCCGGCCACCCTAATACATACATGCATAAAACGTACATATATGTATATAACATGTATATATGCACACAGATAACACCATTGTACTTATGAGTAAAAAAAGGGAACAACTTGCGGATAGATAAACTACACCGTTAAAAAGTATTCATTAAATGCATATACCTTTAGTACATAAGGCTGTGGTAAAATAATGCATTTCATACCTCAAATGTGAATTACTATACATTTATGATAGACTTCAATATAAATTTGTCATTTCGTAACATCATGTTAGAATTTTGTGAAAAAATGAGTACACCTATGTATTAAATTCATAACATATGTTATGAATGTTACAAAATTAGTATATCATGTTTGAATAAAACTTTCAACAAAAGTTGTATAAAGTTTCAATGATTTCTTTTTTTTTGTTTAACAGTGTAGGTAGAAGCAAGATGGCGGCGAGAATTCATCGGCGAGATCAGAGTACACAAATCTTGCGAAACTAAAGAAAACGGTGAGGTATATGTTATTATCTCGAAATAATACGGATATTTCCGCTCGATACTTTTTTCTTTTCTTTTTTTGGCAATCTAAGGGGAAAAGATAAGGCGTATAAAAGTTGGCGTGCTTTTGGCGTGGAGCGAAATCTGGCGGGGCATCAAAGGACTTTGATATCGAAAGGGTAGAAATATCGAGGGAAGAGGAAATAAGAGACGACAGCCAGACTCATAATCCTTCATCAATGTCCTTCTATCTGAAACCGATGGCGAAGGAGTAAAGAAATAAGTAAGAAGGAAGAAAACGGCAAAAGTACAAGAGCCTATAAGTAAGTCGGAGAAGAGTACATGGAACATTTTAATTATTGTTAATTGTATAAATGTTCAAAAAATTCTACCATTTTATGAAGAGCGCACTAAACAATAGTTATTTTTTCTGCCCTGTACATAACGCATATAACGATAACTTAATTTTCTGATAAATTAAAAAAAAGTCCTGAAAAACGGCGGGAAATTTCAAAATTTCGAGCTGATATCACGGCATGCAAATAAAAATCTCTAAAGAATGACAGAATGTGTGTGTATATATATATATTTCGTTACCTAACGACGTGAATGTTTAACTGTAATATCTCCTTGGCCAGAGTTGCAAGAAAAAGAGAGGCGCGGAAAAATGAGCCCTTCCGGTACATTGTAAAATGGCGGGGAATTTAAACGGCCAATATCGAGCATTGATGAAAATAAGAAAGGAGGAAAGGAAAAAAAAATGAAAGAAAGAAAAAAAGCCGAAGAATAGATAAACAAATTTCACGCAACGTAGCTTTAACCTTATTCTCTAAGAAATAAAACAAAAAAAAAGTTACGAGACTTTTACCATGGCGGGAAATTTCGAAATATCACCACGAGCTGATGTCACGACACGCAAAAAGAAACCTCTAAAATCCGCCAGAATATACATATATACATATACATTTCGTTGCATAACATCGCGAGCGTTTAAGTGTAATATCTCCTTGGCACGGGGTGGCAAGAAAAGGAGAAAGGCGCGGAAAAATCGGCACGCGAAATCGGCCCTTCCGGTGTACCGCAAGATGGCGAGGCATTTAAACAGCCTGTACCGAACGGCGGTCGATGACAAAGGAAGGTGGAAAGAAAAAAAAAACGAAGGACAAAAAGAAAAGAAGGAAGAAAGAGACGAGATCGCGAGGATAGGCGAGCGAGATAGGAGGCGCGAGGCGACGGTGAATTTGTGGGCGTCCTCAACGGCCTGACGTCACGCCGACATATTTGGATTGCGAACCCACGCCGTGAGGATATCGCGAGCTGCGAACTCGGCCGAAACGGAAACATTTTTCGAGTCAAAGTCTCGATCTTGATAAAAAAAAAAACAAATATCGTCCATAGTTCCGAAATTCGAAAAAAAAAAAGAACGATATTTCGCATACGTGAGTTTTAAAAACCCCGCCGATTTCCGGGTTGACCGCCAGGTCGCGCGGCGAGTCACGTGACCATCGCGTCGACCAATCACGAGACGGAACATCGGCGAGCCCACCAATCAGCGCCGAGTTTCCGGTTCGTGGAGTCACGAATGTGTAAATTAATGTGCAAATGTGTTGTAAAGAATACCACGTGGGAAATAGTTACTTAAGGTGATGGGAAAGGTGGGCTGGAACGGTCAGTATCGCGGATAAATGATTTTAAGAGGTGAATGAACCGATTCGTCTGAAATATTAACACACGATCGTGGCTAAGGCAGTCTTTGCCGCTAAAAAAATGCACTTTTCAAATAATTTGTATTTTTTTTTCCCCATTTCACTTGATTACTACGATGCTTAACCTTTCCCGAAAGGTTTAATTTTCATACACTTTTATGTTACTATTCGGACTTTGTAGTAAAAAAATTAATGGAACCGGCCACGTGGTCTATGACCACGTGGCCGGATTCAGGATGCTAACATAACATGTTTCTCGTTAAGATTAAACCCTTCACGCTTACATCGCACAAAATAACCACAGGCATAGCCACAAAAGTAAAACATGAACGTAATCTCAGACCCAAAATCGTACACCGATAAACAAAAGAAAGTAGCGCTAAATGACATGCGCGTGACTTAAAAGTTGACGATATCAACGGTCTATAATAAAGAAAACCTCTTCACTTGCATAACAGTTTGCATAGCCGTAAACAATCCAAGTTTATCGAATTTTTCTACCGCACATGCACTTTCAAATGACGCCTTACGCTCGATAATTTGATTTTGGCCAGTTTTTAATATTACTCTTAGGTACTAATCCGTAAGGTATATATATGAAGACTTTTTAGGCCCAGTTCCACAACTCTAGGTAACCGAAGTTTAACTGGTTTGTGTCTGGATTCAACCTACTGTAAACCAATTAAACTCGTGTTAATCGGAGTTTAACTGGTTTACAGCAGACTCAAACCAATTAAACTTTGGTTAACTTGAATTGTTGAACGGGGCTTAAAGATGTTTTCGTAAAACCAGCAAGAACCAATAATTTCGACTCGTTTGTAAATCTGCTATTAAACTCTGATTGTAATATTTATACGGCTGGGGGGTTACGAAATGGATCCCTCTAAATATAGCGGCCTGATATCACTGTTAAGGTGAAGCGAAACACGTCGAGGAACTCGATCGACGTCGATAAAGATTTTTCTAAATGTCTACGTCGCCGACGTTCGTTTTTACATCGACAGCTGTGTCGAATTATATTGGATATTGTACCAAATGGCATACTCCATCTGTCGTTTTCGTACAATAAATATCAAGAAATCGAAGTAAAACTCCAGAAATCCTCTGGATTCATGCTTTCTGGGGCCCTAATTGACTGCAGAGGGACCCCCTGCGCCATCTGTGATTTCCAGGTCAATTAAATTTTCACTCCGAGGCCTCGTATTCCCATCGTTTTAGCATAGAAGCGCACACAACACTTTTTTTTCCTTTATCCCGTTCAAATGCGAGTTTATCGATTACCAGAGTGTTTTAAATTGTCATAAAATTGTCCTGACCCTTTCGTTTCTCATATCAGAGCCTTCGATAATTGTATATCGATCGAAATATGAGAGCTCGACGCCATTTTGGCTCTGGTCTGGGCTAAGTTAAGTAATTTTTTCCAAAAATCCAAATTTTGAATGTGTCAGGACAATTCTTAGATGATCATGAGTGATGTGTCAAAGTTTAGGATAGTTTGGTCTAATACCCTTAAAAAAAGTGTTCTATTCGAATGATGAACTGATTTGAAGGGGGTTTCATTTCACCTTAAGCAACTGAGCGCTGACAGACAGGATGACGTCATGAGACGAGGGTCTCCACCAATCACGGAAGGGAACGCTCTCGGTTCAGCCAATCAGAGATCGTGAAATAATAGATGTGGATAAAATTCAAGAATAACCTCGCCGAGAGTAACCGCTTCCTTAGTAAATCTTTTCCATCGTCCCCGAGAGCCGAAGAAATGGACTCCCCTAAATTTGGCAGGCTTTTAGGCCTTGAAAGCGAAATATACGAAGTACCGAACCGCTGTCGGAAAGGGATCGCGGTGAGTCAGGCGTCGAGGGGACCGACCAATCAGGAGCCAGGACGCTGGTGAGCCGGCCAATAGGCGCGCGCCGCTCCAACGGAATGCGCGCCATTCCGTTGGAGCTTCCGGGTCGCAAGGTTAAGGATGTGTATACGACGCGAGGACGCCGTCCCCGGAAGGATGACGCGCGGGACGGCCTCTAGGAGTCCTTCGCAAACTTTTCCACGAGTCCGAGGGAATAAGAACTGGGCTCCGCGAAATCTTTTTAAGTTACTCGCGTAGTGGGGCCAAAATTAGACGCAAACCTCGAGTAAAGTAGCGGGAAACGCGGAAAGTATAACGTACCTTTCGCGAAAGAATGAGGTTAGAGAGCCTGTGATTCTTTAGGTAAGGATAATTGAAAAGCGATTGTAAGGAGAATTTACGGTACACCGAAATTATTGCGCTCATAAACTGGCAATAAATACACGTGTAAATGCGTTGCGAACGAAAATATGCGGAACGCATGTAGTAAACTCGTGGAGAGTACAGGTTAAGGGAATGTGAAAGTGGCTACACAGAGGTGTCTCGTTTATGAAACTTTTCTCTGAGCTGGGTGTATCGAATCGTTTCAAAGTTTACAACGTGAATATGTAGGCTATAAGGAAGGTCCCGACAGCCATAAAATTCTGAATTGTTTAGAAATTTGTTTATAGGTGTTTTTCAAATTTGTTTATTAAGAATGAAATTTCATGGGTGTCAAAACTCTCCTTATAGCCTACACATTTACGATGTAAAATTTGAAAAGATTTAGTATACTAAATTCGGAAAAAAGTTTCATGAACGATCGACCCTTGGATGTCACATCCCCTTAAGGGAATGTGATAGTCGCTACACAGAGGTGTCTCGTTTATGAAACCTTTCTCGGAGCTGGGTGTATTGAATCGTTTCAAAGTTTACAACGTGAATATGTAGGCTATAAGGAAGGTCCCGACAGCCATGAAATTCTGAATTGTTTAGAAATTTGTTTATAGGTGTTTTTCAAATTTTTTTATGAAGAATGAAATTTCATAAGTGCCAGGACCTTCCTTATACCCTACATATTTACGATGTAAAGTTTGAAATGATTCAGTATACTAAATTCGGAAAAAAGTTTCATGAACGATCGACCCTTGGATGTCCAGCTATGAAATTTAAATTGTTTAGAAATTTGTTTATACGTGTTTTTTCAATTTTTTTTATGAAGAATGAAATTTCATAAGTGTCAGGACCTTCCTTATAGCCTATATGTT